ATGTTATTCTTCTTTACTGAAAGGCAGCTTATGAGTTGGTTTTACTGATTTCTGTTATGATTAAATTGCTTCTATCGGCTAGAAAACTTCATAAGAATTTTTGATACTTCTTATAAATTTCTTACGAACCTCATATGGAAATCTTATGACATTCTTATAAAACACTTACGACTGTCGATGGGAAATCTTAAACAATCTTATATAAGAATTGATGTCTAGGGTTTAACCTTACTGCAGACGGTTAAAACTTTGCAAAAGAAGAAAAGAAAGCCTTCTGCGCTGAGAAAACTAGATTTTACCTAAAAACCAAGACTAAAAGAAACCGCAACTCCAGACTGTCAGAATGCTGTGAGAAAGCTCATCTCGTAGTCCCAATACGCCAGGTACTGTCAGCGATAAATCAGAATAATGTGTGAGGTATTCAAATAATGAAGCTTTTGCAGATTTATGAAAAAGTCTTTTATAACTTTTCAGAAAAACATCAAGGAGAAGCGGGATGACTCGCATTTTGAAGAAGGTACTTGACTCTACTTTGGGATGTGTCAAACTCATATTCGATAAAAATCAACTTCAGCAAGCCAGAAAGGGGTTAAAGGGGGACGCCCTTAATTGCTTCTAATTTCAGCCATTCGTGAATCGATGGTAGTATTCTGTCGGGTTTTGTACGATCGATCTTATGTTACCTACTCAATAAACTACTCAATATCATCATAAGTGTGCCAAACCAGCACTCTGATCTCGCCGATTAGTTTGAACGAATTTGACATTTCATTTTTTGCATCTATTACCAACAAATGTAAATGCAGACAGATACGTGAGTATCTGTTTTGCACCGGTACACATGTATCTGTTTTGTATCGTGTCTATGACCAACACGCATGAGAAGAGTATTGAGTAATAGTGAGGACAGACTCATTTCTCTTTGATCACATCATACTATTGATCATTTAGCTGTTTCAGGTAGGAGAGTTACATAACCATAATGCGTTGCGCATATTACCACGTACTCGTTGATTTTGCACATGACGATATGAACAACAAATGTTTCGCTACTACAATAAACTTTGATGTGTAATGTCGTCCAATGACTTGCACTCTCCACTTTTTTCGTGCTTCTATCGATTAAATATCCGATGATAATAGAAAAAACATATCCTTCTAATAGCGTTTTTTCGCATCGCGTTCTTACGGATGTCCTTTTCGATTTTTCGCTTAAGGAAAGTTTTTTCTAGCGAATGTATGTCAAAAAGATGTTATCTCTTATGCTATGTTGTCAACGCATAGTTCATGATCGGAACGAAAGCAAAGAAATGAGGACTAAAAATGATATTATATTACGCTTGGTCAAAATTATTGTCAGTCACATCTGAAGAAATTACTTTGATAGTTTTTCTTTTTGAGTTTTGAGTGCTGACAAAAAGATCATTCGATATGATTTAAAAACGTTTTATTTTGATCAAAAACATGTAGCTTATGCCGCTTGCTCTGGAACTAAAGTTATGCGACTATGGTGAGGCGAGTATTCTAAAGTAAAGCTTGGCTATATCTAAAGACAGTAAAAACATAACTAGAATAATAATGTGATATCAGAACTTATTGTCTAAAAAACAGATTTTGACAAGTCTGAGTGTATCCAAAAAAAGATTCGAACTCCGTCATCTATGCTGAAAAAATAGCTTGACAACCTCTTTAGATATTTCCTTGCTACGTGTCTGCTCATGGGAGCCTCCTGAAGTATCACAGGAGCCCTCTAGAAATCTCTGGCGTCTAACAGGAGCCCTCGAGAGCCTCATAACGGTTGAGTCTTAAGAATCTCACAGAAATCCTGGGAGTCTAATTGAAAGTCCGAGAGTTTCACATAACTCCCAGGAGTCTTATAGTAGTTCATCTTTGTCTCTTATAACACTTTGTCTCGCGGTGTTACAGCTCACTCTGTCACGTATCGACCGTATGATCGTTCCTCGATCTTCTTTGACTTCGTGAACTTCTTTCGTTCCGTACATAATGCAATTCGTTTCTTCACTCTCTCTCTCTCTCTTTCTTCACCTCGTTTATATGAACAGACCTGTGTTTTTCCTTTCTTTTTCGAACCTTCTCTCGCTCCCAGTATATATTTCGTGCGTAATCGACATTTCATTCATTCTAGCATATCGTCGTGTTTCAGTTTCATCGTCCTAGCTTCGACTTCCTCTCACCTTTTTTTGTTCGTCCGTCCTTTTCTGTGAAATATATTCATTCGAGCGAGGCCGCGGCTCATACGTAGGATAATTGGAAGGTTCGGGAAAAAAAGACGTAGCTGCATAAGGGAGGGATGCCTGGAGCTTCCATCGGCTCAAAACCTGTCTGGAGGAGTACCACGCAAAAAACATCGCTTGAGCTAAAATTGTTTCAAATGATGCCTGTTCTCCTCTATAAGTTCGGCCTCCTCCTTAAAAACTTCAGAGTTGCAACCGGTTGAGAATTTTCAAACTGGTCCGGTTTGGCCGGTTTAAAAGACTTTCTAAACCGATAAAAACTAGCTAGTTCGATAATTTTTTTAACCCGGTGAAAATCAATGGTTTTAAAAAAATTTGTTTTTCTCAATTTACACGAATTTGTACGATTCTTTCAAGAAGGGAGGTCATGTCGCAGCTGTTAAAATCCATAAACTCTCAGAAAGTTTAACAGTCACGTTTCTCCGGCTTGAGACGAAGATCCGTTCTCCAAAAGTGGTTTCTAATTTTCAATTGTTTACTTGTTTCGTCCAAATTTTACATAAAAAAACTAATGTTTTCTGACACAAAAATAAAAATTAAGGTAAAAATTGTACAATTAATGCAGCGTTTCTAATTTACAACATATAATAAATTTTACGAATTTTCGATTTGAAAATGATCATAAAATCGTAAATTCGCAAAAATTTATAATAAATATGTTGTCAATTAGAAACGCTGCATTTATCGTACAATTATTAATTAGGAAATTACCCATAAACCGCAGAACTAAAGTCTACTCTAAAATCTAGAGCCTTGTTTTCTAGAAGTGTTCATTAGACATGTGTATAGACGTCAAAAAAAGATTTTGAGTTGAAACGATTAAGAGGCGATATAATAACAAATAAGATCACGTGACACTGCTTTGATTATGCTTTTTAAGGGGAAAAATAATCTAATTAGAGAAAAAAGGAGAACAGAAGGAATGCAGGAATTGCAGGAATGCCAAGAAATTGTCCGTTTTTTTAAAGAAAATTTACTGTTTCGTAGTGGGACCACAATGTTAAACAAAAATTTCTCTAATCCATAATTATATGATTTTATGCACCCGATGATGGGACGAACAGGGGTGTCGACTTTATATTATGGATTATGGTAATTCACAATGGCTGCTAAAAAGTATTCAACACTAATATTTTGCTGTGATCGAATTATCCCACTTAGTTTGAACAAATAACAAGCATCATTACTAAGACTTGAATCACTTTCAGTCAACTGTTTAAAATTCAGTTTAACGATCGGTATTGGGGGTGGAAGACTAAAATAAGACTGATTTGAATAAGAATGTTGTTATTTTTTAACAGTTCTCAGCACACATGTGCAACACCACTCAAAGTACAGGACTGAAAATACGATACTTTTCTTAATATAATTACAATTTGAGATAAAATAGATGGTGAAAGAAGTTGCGATGAAAGTTCAATGAATCCTCATTGTTGAGGTTCAAAATATCGTAATAGACTGTCTTTCAATCTAATCGATATAATAATTGTTTTTAGAATGCATCCAAAGGTCTTTGCAGTGCTTTTTAGGACGATATATATGGCTCTCATAATTGGTTCAAACTCCGTGGTTGAACATATAAAACTCTCTTCACCTGACAACTCCAGCTGATCTATCCATTACTCAAATCTGTTTAACAACTTGTTCCGTAGTTCAAACTTGACTAGTAGGTGTTTGTATTAGAGAATATCTGAAAATGACACAAGCGATTTTCTATTGGAGCGAATAGATCTGAGTAAAGAAACAATGACGAAGTTAAAGAACTAAGTTGTGTTTCATACGTTACTTTTCCGCAGTACAATTGATGTTACTTCAGAAAGTGTATGAGTTCGCATGTTGACGTTAGATCAGAATCAATTCGCTGTTCGATTATAAACGTGAGAACAAAGGTACAGATATGAGGCTGGTAGAGTCAATTGGTGAAGATAAAAACCCGAAGAAAGCATTCAAAATTGAAAATTGTTCTTGTTGTCATTAATATATTTTCATGAAACATGGATTTGTTGAAATCGACTATTACCCCAGTATATGTACCGTTTCTTGTCTATCGTTGAAAAAGCGAAATACACTGTATAGTCTAATGTTCACGGCTTCCAACTATGGATTCGTAGTGAACTTAAAAAAACGGGTTGAAGCAGCAGATTTCAGAAAATTGCTTAAAGCGAGAAAACCAAAGTCGATAGTTTCGTTAAATGAAAGTATCAGACGCAGTTTTTCACGTCCTTCCGAATAATGCACTTAATCGTTCACCGTATTTAAGTTTACGAGGCGAAAAAATTTCTTTTTGTAAATTCAACAATATAGATTTTTAAAAATTCTTTTCTTTAAAGTAGCTGAGACTTTTCTCTTTCGTCTAATACATAATTGATCGAGGTCGGAGATTATAAGAGTTTCTTTTAGATGAATCGAAGGTTTCTATAAACGATATTTTTCATAATAAATAAACAACACAAGAAAACTTTTGTTTTTGATGCACACGCTAGTAGTTAATATTGTTTCCAAACAAAACATTCGATGAATGAGAGATAAGTAACCAACATCGCACTCTTTTATTGTATTGCAAAATAATCTGTGACAAAAGAGCATGCATTTAAACGTTTTTCATTTGTTTTTCTCCAAGAATAAGTCAGAAAAAAATAAATATCTGACTTAAAAAAATATCTGGTCAATGTACATATATATAAAAAATGAAAATGAAAACAAAACATGAAAAAAAATTCGGTAATAAAATAGTGTGTGGATATTTTAGGGAAACTTCGGTTGTAATTTTGGATATGAATTTAACACATGTAACATTTTTATTTGTTGTAAAATGTTCGATGATGATGCTTGCTCTGTGGACGAAGGTGGTGCACCAATAACAACATAAACAGTTGATTGTTCACCATCATTAGATGTTGACTTATTATTATTAATATTATTATTATGATAGGATTTTTTTGATTTTGTTTTCAGATGTGGCTAGAAGAGAAGTGATAAATAAAGAAAAAATTTAGTGAAAACAAAAATAGAAATGAAGACCTTGTGTATCCTCAGTTTTTTTGATTTAATATAGTTGTGCACGGTATTATTATGATTTCAAAATGCCTGAACAGTTACCTTTACAGCCAGTTATAAAAAAGGAATATTTTCATCGTACCTTTAACCATAATGGAAATTGTGAAGTAGAATTTTTAGTCGACTGTGTGCTATCATCATCATTTGGAACCCGGTGCCATGGAAATAAGCATACATCTGGCACACTACCATAATCACTCGCACTCTGAATAAAAATGAAAACGTGAATAAATTTTTTATTGAAATGAAACCAAATGATATGTACTTTAATAGGATTTAATTTTCGCCGTGTTAAAGATGTATTACGTAAATTTTTAATTCGATCAAATATTTCTTTTTGTTCACGTCCAACTAAATATATAGATCCAATAACATCGGCTTGCTTCAGTCCACGTAAATCACGGTATTGTTCAATACCAAGTGCCATCAAACTAAATTAAAAAGAGAGAAAAGTTAATCAAAATCAGATTATGAACATTTGTTCATATATTTTAAGAACAGCAATAAAACTTTACTAACATCGTAAAACCATTTTATCTATGTCTATGACAATTTTTACGTACCAATCTTCTCCGTACGTAAAGTTTTTGCTTCTGTGAGTATTCGTAAACAGACATGATGGAAATAAAGAATAATGTACAAATGTCGATTTTGTTAAAAATGTATTCATTAAATGATATGGTAAATCATTCAAAGTAGGTTCTAAAGTAAACTTTTGCTTTTTTTAAATATATTATCAAAATAGAATAAATTATACTTGTGATAGTATTTTCATTGTTAATTGCTCTAACGAGTTGAATAGATGAATTCATATTTTTTACATTTAATATTGATTGACATTGCTGCTGTTGTTGAGACATGAGATCACGAAAATGATCTAAATCATACTGCAGAAAAGAAATGGATAGAGTATGACTAAGAGTACAAGAAAAGAATCAGTCAAAAGTAACTTACTAATAACTGACGTGCTGATTGTTCTTGTGTGTAAAAATCAGTTGGATTTTCATGCGCCAATAAAATGTATTGTGTTAAAAATTGAACGTACTATTAAAAAAAAAGATTTCGAATGAAGAGTAAAAGCAAAGAAGTAATGAATGCTGCATACAGCTGTCAACTGGTATTGTATAACTGAACGTTGCTCTTTGGTCACTTCGAATTTAATGGGATCATTTGCACTACTTGAAGATGGTGAATCCACTTCAGATGGACTTTCTAACGGTAATTTTACATGCTGATCAATCCTAAAGTGAAGAACAAAACAAATTGTTTGTCATAATTTAAAAGTATTGCAGCACACCTTTGATCAATTGACTTAGTTTCTAATTCAGATGTTGCCAAATCACTTTCTTTTAATAATAAAGCCAATTCTCGTTCTAAATACAAACAAAAACAAATGATCCACAAGCCTTGTTATACGTCTCATTGCTTTTGATTGTACTCAATAATGTAACTCACATTGTTTAACAATAGAAAACTAACTATTCTAAAATTTGCAAGAGTTTTAAATGATGCAGAGAAACTTCTAACCGTCTATGCTGATTTATTTTGCATTAAAACAATTCGCTAAGAACAGCTCTGAGCAACTTATAAGTCAATGTTTAACTTATTTCTCTCAATCATTGATATTCTATGAAAACTCACCAATCAATGACTATAAACGAAATTTTCTTACTTGAAACGTTTTCTCTTTTATTCTCTTCTTCAATTTCTTCTTCGTCCTCTGTAGCAGTAGCAGCTAATGTAAATTCCTCATCATCATCTTCGGTAAATAACGATGGTGATGATTGTTGCTGTTGTATAGCATCATTGACAATGGTTGATCGATCAGAAGTGTTTAACGATGCAACAAATTCCGTCCATAATAAATCATATTCTTTGTTGTTTTCTAATAATGCTGCTGTTGAAAATTGTTCAATAGTTTTATCGCATACCGATGGATTTGAGGTGGATTGTTCTATTGTGCTATAAAATCATAGATAGAAACAATCATCTACAAATATCTATTTATCCTGCGATAATGCGTTTACGAACTTGCTGCTGTTTTGCTCAAATGGTGATGTGACACTTTCTTTCAATAAAAGAGCCAATTCTCTCCCTAAAAATACACAAAAAACCTTTGTTATGAATAAACCAACGATCTGATCGTTTCTGATGATAATTGAAAGGGCAGTAAAAGTTAAAACAAAATTCTATATCAAAATAACTTTACACACTTGAAACGCGAAGTCGTTGCTCATCTTCATCATTAATTTCATCATCTTCTGCCAATGTAAATTCTTCGTCATCTTCTTCTTCAAATAATTTGTTGAACGACACTGTCGAATTGACAAATTCAATCCATAATGGGTCATATTCATCAATTGTTGGCAATTGTTCGGACAATGATTGTTGTTGTTTCAACGGTGTTTTTGCACGTGTACGATTACCACCTACTAATTGTTCACTCGGAAAAAGTGTGTTGCTAAGAGTCATACTTTCGTCAGTAACCAAATCACATACATAATTTGTTGTAGTACCGTTCCGAATCTAAATGTTAAATGATTAATAATCATGCATATTTCAGAGTTCTCCAAAATTCTAAATCTAAAACTGCAAACTTCATAGTAGAACGAGTTGGAGATTTGTGTCAGAATCAGACAAATTTAACTTGTTTCAAAACCGTAACAGATCACCGCCAACAAAAACATCTCCCTTCGTTCTAAAACAAATCTTACTATTGATGTTTTACACATTACATCATCGCTATTGATATTTGAATTTGAATCGATGAATTTTGACTGTGTTAATGTTGATTGTTCTTGTTCTGTAATTTGTGATTTTAGAAATTCTTTGACTGCTGGCTCCACTAATAGATCCTAAACATAATATAACAACTTGTTCTGAACACTTGAATATTTCAAGAATACTGTACCACGTTCACAAACCTTTAGCATAAGTTTTGCTGTATCACTGTTTACTTTATATTTTTTAGCTACATGTTCAATTTTGAGATCAAAACTATTTTTCAACGACTGATGTGATCGTTTTCTTAACAATGGCGTACGAGTTTCTGTGGAACAAAACAATGAAGAAAAGCTGAAAAACACAAATATACTTTCTGATTACAAAATGAAATAAACAATAATTGTAAATGAGTTATTTACTGATTTGGACTGGAACTTGGCGTGTTTAATTGAGCAGTACGCCTAACATTATTATCTTCTTCCGCAATGGTAAATGGATTATCCATATCAACAACATATATTAAAAGAGCAAATCTAAAAGTCAGTCATATATAGAAAATTCGACAACAACATAACAAACATCCATGAACAAGTAAAATAAAAACTTCTTCTATAACACTAGCAAATTCTCAAACTTGACATGATCTTCAGATTTATTCAGTCTTATTTCATAACCAAAAAGGGATGAAAATTAGATCTTCTTTGACAGGATTTTTCATTGTGACCTGTTTATTAAATTGCTGCTCCCTAAAAATTGTACACGATCAGCATGATTTATATAATCTATCTGAGTTTCAACATGTATGGATTATGTTTGTTATTAACTGCTGATTTTCGAATATCTATTCATCTATGATAATCAACAGCTACATTGTCAGATATTTGTTATAAATACCAACTGAGTTACTTGTATATTCAGATCTAGAAAATTTGGCCAGTAAAATTGTGTCACTCTAATATTTCCTCTTTTATCTTTAACATTGAAATTGTCAGAAATTCTTTTATATAGCACGTGCAGAACAAATTTTTTTAATCGATTTCTCTATTTTTGGTGATCACTTCCATACAATAGGAAAAAAACAAGAGAAAAGTTCAACAAAACAAAAAAGTCTATATAACAAAGTTTAGGTGGGCATAGTCGACAACATTTAGAGATTTTACAGCGTAACGTATATAAAGAAAAACACACGATAATATAAAATTTCGAAAATAGAAAAACAATATTAATGACGACAAGTATTGAAACGCAAACTCATTTAAACGAGTAGAAAAAGAAGCAGGAATGGTAAGGATAGACCGTTGATTACTGTAGTCTCAGCTGTAACGGTTTTCTTTTCTAAACAAAATTAATTAATAACATGTACTGTCGATAAAAATATTAGAATTAACAGTCAAAATAAACCGATACTATAGTTCATTTAATGATGATATGTTTAGAGAACGGTTTTTTGTCTAAATGAACTTATGTTTTTTTTCTTTGTTTACTACAACAATTGACAAAAAGAACAAAAGTATAAAGACGAAAAAACATATTTATTCCCTATTTGAAGCAAGTAATACACTTTCTATGTACAGAAATATAGTAAAGAAAACATAAAACAATATAATTCAGTTGTTCACGATCACATACGATCTGATGTACGTGAAAAAAATATTTTCAATAAACAAAAGTTTGAAAATAAAACCATACGTCAAACATTTGACTAATGACCATAGTTACATATAACCGCCAACTTGTTCCTGTAAATAAACACACAAATAAAATACAAGTATTTTTATGCCGATTATTCACAACCAACCTGGTAAACATCAATGACATCATTGTCTTCCATGTCTAATAATTTTGGTGTTTCATCATCATTTATTCGTTTTCCATCAAATAAAAATCTTAATGTTTGTACGGAAACACCTAAACAAACGATAAATGATAACATCAGTATTATTCAGTCAGACATCTCATCTTACCTTGTCTTTCAGCATAGCTTTTTTTCAATTTTCCCATTGATGTTGTCATTTTTACTTTGAAATGAACTTCACCTACAAACAAGAGAAGGAACTTTTCATCAAAAGTCTTAGAAACAAAAATACTGACTTACTATTATCTTGGCCAACCACTTTTAGTTTGATATATTCGTCGGTTTTTGCTGGTTCGCCAGACATTTTGTTTACGTCAGAGATTGAGATCGAGATACTATTGAGATTTGTAAACAACGATGTCCTTTAATAACTTTGATCTGAAATGAACGTTCTTAAGCTGAAGCAGTTTGAAGAAAACAAGAAAACATATTTACAATCCTAATCAATAGTTCCGGCAGTTTATTTACTATAATTTACTGGTCAGAAAAATGTTAATTTAAGCTTGTATGAAAATGTGACAGAAAAATTGTGGGAGTCGATCGCATAGCAAGTGAAAGATTTAACAATTCTTGTGAGGAAGCCGTAGAAAACAAACTACTTACACTCTGACATCTTGCGTATCTAGGTAACTTATGTCATAACCACAGGAAATTTCATGACGACAAACAGTAAAAACCTGATAGATTAGTCATCTCTAAAGAGACGTTCTCAGAATGATCCTTCCATTTCGGAGAGAAGGTTTCAAAAGAATATCGGAAATCAACATGAACACCGTTGGAAAATTACCCAATCGGTTTTATTAATATCAAGCCACCAATAGGGTTTGCTATAGAGTAAAGTTTCGAAGCAACTCAAATAAGTGGAAAGCGGTTTAGATGAAAATAATTATGGAAATTACCCAACACTACACGGATTAGCAATTCAGTAATGATAGATAACCTTTTAAAATTTTTATAAACACTTACCTGTAAATGAACAATTGAATTGCGTCGTCACATAAGAGCATAGGATATATGGGCGGCAAACAGGCTAAAGACAATCTAGAACATTACAGAAACAAAGCCGTTGTCGGACGACATATGTTCATACATGTAAAAGCAAATGTCGGCATATGTTTACGCAAGACCTGTAGGCTGTTGACATGGTGAAGCGCATTCATGCTTTAAAAACCATGTGTAGGTACCGGTTTTAATATATTATGTATGCAGCTATGCGACTGATTTTGTTCAGATTTTAATTCTAAGCCCAGATTTTCCCGTAAATTATACACATGATTCTTGACGGAGGATAATCGTGTCACGTGATAGATAGAGGCACCACGTTCGACGCCTGTCGATGTCTCCAGTAGATGGCTGTTCTTGTCTTCTGCTGCAGCGCCCTCTTCTGTTCTTTTAACAATATGCTTTCGAAGTAAGAGGGCAACGAGTTATTGACTGGATGATTAATATGATTGAAACTATACAAGTATTTTCATTCGCAATTTGAATTAGTTCAGTGAATCAAAGTTACCAAACTAGTATTACATATTCGAGTTAAATGTGGCATTATTTTGTTTTGATGATCAAATTTCTAGGGTATAATAGATGATGATATCAATCAAAATATAATTTCAATGAACATTTTGTCGAATCAAAACTTTAGTGAATATAGATTAAAATAAATATAAAATAATAAATATAGACACTTTTTTTAACGCAAGTAGTTTAGAAGGTGTCGGTTTGCTGAGTTATAGTCACTTATTAATTAATCACTTATATTTTGGCATTATCTGTGATTTTAACTATGAGATGGTTTTAACATGCGAATTTTGGAATCATGAAATGAATATGGTCTGTCATAACCAAGACGTAACCGGAGATTGGAATATAACTAATTGTCAATATTTGAATATCCATAAGGCATGAATACTGTTTTGACCATTTATTAATATTTGTTTTGATATGATCATCACTATTATACAATGAAAGATAAGCAGTATAAACTACATATTACCGATTTTGTTTCGATGATATTGCAACTATTATCGATCTAATGCTAGGTCTTCATCCAATTGTTAGATACTTCAGTCCGTCGTAGCATACCTAAAATAAAATTTTACCATGTTCAGATAACGGTTCCTGATAAGTTTCCTGAAGAAGATTTTCTAGAAGAATACAAAACTATAGAGAAAATACGAGAAAGCTTCAATGTCAATTACTTTCAGACCCAAGATGCAACAAAAAAATTTTATTTTGAACACAGTGCGCATCAAAGTGGAATCGAAATGTATTTTCTGATGCCCCAAAATGTCACCTTTCTTTCCTTGTATCATAAGTTTGCTAGAAGCCGTTTTTCTGACACGAACGAAGATTTTACTAAAAGTAAAAAACAACGGAAAAATTTGATTTCCGCGCCTTGGCACAGGAAACGAAACGGCACTGTTCGACTTTCTCTGTTCGGATGTAACAGAAGAATTCTTTTGCTTTAAGATAAACCAGATCCGACGTCATAATGTGTGATTTTAACCAAATCATACAAATTTTCCTAAATGCCTCAAAACTGCAAGTAGAAAGTGATGATTTCGGGCAAAATCGCTAAAAGAAAAATCTCCTGCTGCGACCGCTTGAGCCTGTGAAGAGTCGTAAATATAGTCAGTTAATAGTGCTTTTCGTGAACTGCAAAATGGCCATTTTCTTTTTATTTCTGTCGCAAAACATAAATTAAATTAAAAAACCAATTTTTTGGGTTTGAAAGTAATCGACATTGAAGCTTTCTCGTATTTCCTCTATATTCTTTACTCTTATAGTATATAAAGAAATGCTCAATATGTTTTGTGTAGAGAATTGAATGAGGAAAGTTTCGAAAAAAAAGATTGAGACTTGGTGATCAAGCTTGACCGAGATATTGAGAAAATACTGAATGTAACGGTAATTCCGGGCCATCCGTTCCCATACTTTTGTGTTTATCAGTTTATTCTAATATAAAAACGTCTATGTATGTGAAGCAGGTACATTTCGCCATTTTTTATAATTGATATATGAGTCGTTGACACGCTTTCAGAGCTGGAACCGGCTGAGAAAAGATAAACCGGTCCGGTCAGATTGGTCTGAAAGTGTAACCGGACCGGTCCGGTCGGTAAACGGGCCGGTTGGAATTATAACCAAACCGGCGAAAACCTGGCGAAGTTTTTGAAAATCCATTTTCAGACAGAATTTCCCCACAAATGAAGTAGTTTGCGAGCACATGTGAGAGAACCTTCACAATAACGAGTCTATAATATTTTACCTTAAAACAAGTGATGGAAATAATATCTGTCTTGAGCATCGTCTTATTTATTCTGACTGAAAAAAAAGCGAAATTTCAGTTTTTTTGACGAAAAACAGCGCAAAAAGAGAAGATGTTTCAAAAGTTTCAACCGGTGAAATACAGGTCTCTACCGGCCCGATTGACTTTTTCAACCGGTCTTGTCGGGTACCGGTCCAGTGCTGCCGGACCGGTTCCAACTCTGCACGCTTTCTAATCAGCATCTAATTGGTAATTGGTTTTCATTCAAAATATTCAATTACTGTTGCGTATTTAACGATATGATGGTTTCG